ATTAGCATCGACCGCGCTAACCGGCTGACCAATGAAAAGACGTCAGTCTTAGTGCGGTTGAAAACACAAAACACTTCTATCTACCATGAACTGGGACCCCGTGAGGGGGCAGCATGGGGGAGGCTAAACTATCCTTCGGATTAAAAACAGAAACAGCAGCAACAGACGAAAAATGCACGCGTCTACCAAGGCTATTACCTAGTACTCGAGTTCGTTTAGGAGTACTTTCACCAGTGTCCTCCTTGTTTTCGCTACCATCATTCTGATCCTCATTTCGACAAGAAGAATCTCTGGGCAGTTCTTCCCTAGCCCTATGTTTCTTGTTGTGGGGAAGGTCATCTGGCTCAAACCCTTTGCTCTGTTCCACTCCTCCACGTTTTCCTGCTCCATCGTCTTTTTCGTCCTCCTTTCTTCCCTTTCCCTTTCCTTCGTCTTCGTCACTCCCAAAAGAATCACCCTCACTACTATCGTTGTCGCAGAGATCCCAACCGATTGGCCTTGCAGCTCGATCTTGTTTGTGTGCGTGCGTATACTACTGCTGGTAATTTTGACTATCCATTAGACTAGCCTAACGCCCCTCCCCCCCCCCCGACCCTCACATACGCGTGCCCGTTGCAGGTACCACCCCGCAAGGAACCAATACGACGAAGGCGTTTGCGGAATCAGGTCAGAAGGTGGTTGGTTCGATGCGCTCCAACTCGCGAGAGAACACCAACCACCGTGGTCGCTACCGTCAGCGCTGATGGTCACACCTGGGCACTAACCATTATCTTCAAAGGGCAACGACTTCAGGCCGATTGTTTTGTAGAGCGGAACGGCCCGGTGGGTGCGAGGTACACCTGTACGCATTCTTCGTTCATGCAGGGAGACGTATTCATCGCCTACTTGAAGGATTTCCACGAGCAGCTCGGCGACCGAGGGTTGCTCGACGGAAAACCCCACACATTCTTGCTCGATGGACATGCATCACACGTGAGCGTGGAGGTAATCAGGCTGGCCATGAATCTCAAAATCATCTTGTTCCAGCTGCCCTCCCACACGTCGCACATCACCCAGCCCTTGGATGTCGTCGCCTTCGGACGCTTTAAGAAATCGGCGACCAGAGTTTTGGCGTCCTTCTACCACAACTCCGGCGGGTTGTTGCTGCTGAAACGCGACATGCCCGGCGCGATCGCGGATGCTTGGAAATTGAGCTTTACACCGGAGAGAAATAAATCATCATTCGCTGGGGCGGGCTTATGGCCTGTAAACAAGGAGCGGGCGCTGGGCCGGCTGAAGGGCACAGCGAAGAAGAAAGCGCGGCGAGACGAGCGCCCACCCCTACAAGATGTCCCCATCGCCGCCCTCAACGAGCAGCTGGAAAAAGACATCGCAGAAAGGGCCCTCAGGGTGCTGAGAGGGCAAGGGCACACCGTCACGGGAATCCGAGTAGGCACGGTGTTACTCGGTGGCCTCTTGACTCAAAGGAAGCGCGCGAAGAAGATGGCGACCTCGCGGGGCTCGCTTGGCCTTCCCGACGGAGGCAATATAACCGCGCCTGAGTTCCTGGACGCTGTTGCCGAAAAAGAAGGCGCAGACAAGGCGGAGAGCGACGCGAAGGCTGCGAGGGCGAAAGTCCGCGAAGAGAAGAGGGCAGAAAAAGCGGCCGCGGAGCTGTTGCGGCAGGCGCGCATGGCCGACAGAGGAAGAGGACGGGGGCGGGGAGGAGGGAAGGGAGAGGAAAGGGGAGGGCGCGGCGGGCACGTATGGATATTTCTCACGTGTCCTGACAGGTTCAGATTTGAATCGAACACGCCCAAATGGTCACGAAGTTGTACCCGCAGTCGATATGCACCCTGTAGAACGTCGCATGTGGTTCGTAAGCTATGCGACGGTGATTTTAGGGCGTGCCAGCACCGGGGGGGCAGGATGCACAGGTTTCGAACCCAACCCGGGGATGTCATCGTTTTGTCCCCGGGTGACCTGTGTGTGTGCATATTTTTTTTTTGCGATAGATGTTTTTCACATGCTTACAGGTTCCCTTAGAAGCGCTGGTCGCGGGGGTGCAAAAGTGTTTTGAAACTACAGTTGTTATCGGCGCTAATTCTTACCGTAGCGGCAAGCCTAAAATCAGGGAAAAAATATCCTTATTTTGTCAGGGAAATCGTGCGTCGAGACCACCAGTAGTCGGACACGGTTTGACCTTTGAATACGATTGCAGCAGCTAGTCTGCGTAGCAGTAGAACAGAATCCATCTCTCCGTGGCATGTATTCTCTTGTTCTAGAAATATTCCGGAAGCATGCTAGGTCAAGGTTGACCGGGACATCTACGTGGAACGTGTGTAGCTTCTGGAAGCCTTCTGGAAACTTCTGAAACCTTCTGTAAGCTTCTGGAAGCGTTATCGATCTAGGTTGCAGTTGATACTCTTCTAGGATGTACGAGGGCTTCCAGAAATCATTCTGGAAGCATTCTGGATCTTTCGTGTGATTGGCTTACTTGTCCGGTATTCGAGAAGAGTGGTGCAGCCCTAAGCTCGCCCACCACTCTCATTCCTCTTCAGTACCAGCAACATCTGACTCGGGAGTCAGCGATTAATAAAAACATCTTCATATTTCTATTCCAAGTCTCTCGCGGTTGGAGCAGCACAGAGTGTGAACCTCTGAGGTAGGCTACACAGCCTACCGGCATCTGCGGCATCGTACTGCTGCTAGTGCACAGCGAAATATACTCTGACAGGATATGAGCCTCGGCTAACGCACACACTACGAGCTGCGAACATCACGGAAAGATGAAGGCAACCTCTTCTCGGGACATCAACCTTCATCCGTGGACAACGAGAGAACCTG